GTGTGTATAGTAATAAGAAATAAAATCTCACACGTAAAATATATCGTTTCCGGTAGGAATAAAAAACGACAAGATAGAAAAAGAGTAAAAAGGTAAAGTAACAAAATTCCATTGGGAAGCAAAAGAGACCACAACATCGAGCTGCCTTTTGGCCCACACTTCGTGCACACATAGGATAACTTATATGCATAGATGGTGCATACACATGTACGTACATACATTTGCGCATGCCTTTCGCGCTCCGGAAAAATTCCAAGTACCGTAAGAACGTAGAGTAAAACCGAGCGGCATGGAAAATACCACGCGAGTTTTGAAAAAAAAAAAAGAAGAAAAAGAAAAAAAAATAGGGGGAAAAGGAAAAGAAGGAAAAAAAAAGCAAGGGAGTGGGAAAACGCACGGACACCGAAAATGTAAGCTCGAGGGGCAAAACGTTAGGTAGGTTGGTTGGTAGGTAAGTTGGTAGGTAGGTAGGTTGGTAGGTAGGTAGGTTGGTAGGTAGGTAGGTTGGTAGGTAGGTAGGTAGGTATATTCATACATAGTGGAGGTGGGTTTGAAACGCGGCTAACCGCGAAAAGGTGGCTCGTTAATAACCGTTGCAGAGTAAAAGGGAAAGAGAGAAAGAAGAAAAGAGAAAGCGAAGAGAGGATAGGATAGAATAGGTTGAACGTTGGACGCTCGGACGAACGTCAAATTGCAAAGGGAAACGTGTAGCCATGAGGAATTCCGTATCCGGTTCTACAAATGTTGCTGGAATCCTCGGACGTTCGCATTATTCCTCAACGTATATATATGTACAAGTACATTGATCATCCGAGCTATAGGAAAGAACAATTAATCAAGGAAAGATAGGGTATAGGAAGGAATGGGACGACAGAAAAACATCATGGCGTCTATGCCACCATCCTCCTCCTCCTCCTCCTCCTTCTTCTTCTTTTTCTTTCCCTATCTTTCTCTTATACCTACACAGCCTAGGTCTTGACTATCCTAACGAAACATGTGTCACTGCCTTGGAATACAATAAGAAAGAGAGGCTACTGACTGTGCGCACGGCTCGTTAATCACATTCAAAGTGATGGATTAAAAGCAGCCTGCAAATGAGCTGTTTTAATCTTTTCTTTCGCAAAATAAAGGGATCTAAACTTATTACGAATCTAAGAATATCGTCCCATAATTCGTTGGAAATAACAGTCGAGAAAGGAGAACAAATAAAATGAAATGAAATGAAATAAAATAAAATAAAATAAAATAAAATCAAAGTAAGATCGTAAAGCTATGAGAGAAAAAGTAAAAGAAAGATATTTTCTTTCTCGACTTCCTTCTCCAAGCCTCAAGGCACTTTTTCTCTTCTTCTTCTTCTTCTTCTTCTTCTTCTCCTTCTTTTCCGGGTGAGAGATATAGAGGAGATACGGTCTGACTTTGCGAAGAACTACTACGAGAGGGTCGCAAAATCTTTTCAGTCGGATATCTGTAATCGCGGCGACGTAAAAAGAGACTCTTTCTCTCTTTTTCCCCTTCTTATTTCGAAAGCCTGGCTTGCCTCGCTGGCAAGTATTCTTCCTCCTTGTCTTCTTGGAGTAAGTCAGAGAGACGAAAGTAGCGCTTGAAGCATTCAATGAAAGAGACAATACGATCTTCCTTCCTTTATTTTTTTACTTTTACTTAAACAACAAAAAAGTCTCAAAGTATAACGAGAAGAAGACGTTTCCGTTCGACAGTCTACCCAAGACGCATACAACGAAGATCATCCAAATTTCATTTTTTAAGTACTTGCCATATTTGTTCTTATAAATAGCTTAGCTTTTTATTTCTTCTTCTTCTTCATTTGTCATCGAATCTCAACTAATATTAACCCTTTGCATTTCTACATCGAGGGTGTGACTTGACACGCTATATTTTGTAATTCAAGTAAATTTCAAATCAAATAATTTATAAGCTGCCGGTAACAAAATTGAAATGCAATTCGGAATGGAAAAGGGTTAATATTTCTTATATTGCGTTGCGTTTTATTCGAAGAAAAATCCGATAGGTAATACTAATAACGATAAATGGCTAGGAATACAAATAACCGTAGTGGGCATAGAAACCGCAGGACGATCGGCCACAAGGGATAGTCTCCTCTCTCTCCCTTTTGGTTGCGAAGTCGAGGTAAAAGAGAAGCCACTGGTGGCGGTGGGTTTGCCATCGCGCAAACTCAAGAGCTTTCAAAACTCACTGCGGATACTGCGATTCAGCCTGGGAAATCGTACTCATACATATTCAAAGGATTTTCTCCTGCAAGAAGTACCGCCTCCTCCTCCTCCCCCCGGCACCCTGGATTACAGGTTACGGACACGGTTCTCCTTCGTCCTTTCCACGCTTCCCTGCCTGCGTGGATTATCAATCGCCCTTAGAGATCTACAAACCTTCCCTCTCCCTCTTCCCGTTCTTTCGATCAACTAACACCCCATAAAGCGGGCCTTTTTTCCCCTCGCGTCAAAGCTACGAAAAATAAACGGCCAGGCCAAGCTTTCCAGATACGATAATACTATTTCGATTTGAAGCTTTTTCAATCAAATATTTCTAATGTTATTTTTGAGGTATTACACGGATTATAGTACAGGTAACTTTTCTGTAACACGATAGATACGTTTCTAGAATATGCTGTGTTCTGTATTCGATACAAAAGAATAATATATGTTCTATGCATTAGTATTAATGAAAATTGTATTACAAATTTCCAAGAGAAACCGAAAGAGAGAGAGAGAGAGAGGGAGAGAAAGAGCAAGCTAGGAAATATTATTTAAATTTGCTTCGTAAAAAAATATCATACATAATTATTTCGTTGTTTCGTACTTTCGTACTTTCTAAAGTGATCATTTAAAAAGGGTAGTAATTTGCAAAAGATAAATCATGGTATTATGGAAAATGAAGGGTAAAATGATGAGAGAAGAGAGATGGGTAAGTATGCCTAGCTTTAGCTTTTCTACGTCTATATGACAGACTCTTGAAGTATAATCTTGATAAAACAGACACGGTCGTAATACGCAATCAGAATCAGAGGCTGGTTATTTCGAAGATGGAATCGCGAAATCTGCTTTTCCTTTCGCATAGTATTCTAGATTGTTCGAAAGAGCTCTCTTATTCCAGAGCATTAATTCTACGCGCTATCCGTTTCGTTTCGTATAACAGCAACGATAACTTTAGACTTTCGAGATAGATTGGGTACTCCAAGGTTGGAAAGCACCTTAACACTGGCTGCTTAACGATAAGATTAACTTATAAGCAAATATACACACACTCTCTCATTCTCTCTCATTCTCTCTCTCTCTCTCTCTCTCTCTCTGGATCTTCCTATATCACAAACGAGGAAGAAAATATCTTCGCAGTATACTATTTCGTATTTCACTTGTAAGAAAAGAAAATTCTTTTACGTTTCTTTCACAGAAGATTTATATTTCCAGAGATATACTTTCGCAAACTGAAAAATACACTTTTCTTTCTCTCTTGCTATTTTGAAAACTATATTACACGATGTTTCTTTCACGCCGAAAGGAAAACTTTCACAAGTAATTCTTGCCGATAAATATTTAGGTAAGAGATAGAAATAAGTCAAAGAAGAAGAAGAAGAAAAATAAAAATCTACATTTCTATATTCAAATTGGAAAAGAAAAAAAGAAGCGAAACGTGCTTGCAAGCTTTTTCTCGACAACGTAAGCGCATTTTTACGAGGATCATAGCAATATTTTACGGGCGATCGGCGATCGAGGATAACCATCTCTCTCTCTCTCTTTCTAACTCTCTCTCTCATAAAAATTCGTCCCGGATATTCTTTCTCTTTTCTTGCAAATGAAAAGCTTCGTCGCAAGGCTTTGCCAGTAGTTCCCTCTCGCTAAAACGTTTTAGGGCGACCATTTTTGAGAAAGAACAAAAGGAATCCGAGGTTGGTTATAAATGGCTACGATGAATAATAACTCGGTTATTGAAAGAAAATTCCGGATGATATGAAAGAGTTTTGAAACTCAAAGCATTAGCCCAGTTTCACGAGTATCATGGATAAGGTTGAGCCCTTTTTCTTCCACACTTTCCTTCTTCTTTCCGAGATATCAAACACTCTCTCTCTCTCTCTCTCTTTTCTTCTATCAACGTCTCCCCTCCACCCCCCCTCAGTCAACCCTACCTCACCTGGAAGCCACGTCCGCATAATGGCTATTCAGATATCGAATCGATTTATTTCCCTTGGGGCCTTCGGAAACTTGCTACCTTCTTCGCGGTGAACTTGGAATAGCTCTCTTGCTCTTTGCTCTCTCTCTCTCTCTCTACTTCTCTCTCTTTTAGGAAACTCCAATGGAACGTTATCTCGGTTGGGTCATCTTTCTTTGATAGCTCCTTCTTACCGAGGAGGAAAACGTAACGCGTGTTCCTTCATGGATCCTTACTCGCTTTCGTTCTACTTTGATACCTTCTATTACCGAGTTTAGGTTCAAGTATCGTCAGATGTTAGAACTTATATAGCAAATGTACGATATTCGATTTGCGAACGGTTAAAATCAACGATAATAATCTAATGGATATTAAACGAAACATTTTAGATAAAACAAATGCTAATAATATAATATTATTGTATTGTTATTATTATTATTACTATATAAACTTTTGTGCACGGGGTATGTATTTATGTAGATATACGCGGGAATCGTATTAGGTCCAGCGAGAAAAGTTTCTCAGAGAGAGAGAGAGAGAGAGAATATAGTTTAAGTGCTTTCCCAAGCGAAACTCGTCAAGGAGAGAGGAGCTCATCAAATAATTAATTTCATTCTCGGAGTGTTAACGCGCTTTATAAACTCGTCTTGAATTTTCTTGGAGAAATATTCAGCACAGAGAAATATTTCACGTCCACAGTAGTAGACTACGAAAATGAACATTTTCTTAAATAAATCACGAATGAAAAAGATTTGTTGTTATATCAAATGTGTAATAGAAATAAAATAAAAGAGACGCACATAAATATTAAAAATTCTAACCTTATTCGGATAGCCGTTGTATCTGAGAAGTTTCTTACAACACTTGCCGCGATTCTCGTAATAGAACATTTGGACCATTTCTGCTCGGTCCGTCGCGGCGCTGACGGTGAAGGGAGCACCGTCGTTGGTGAATCCTCTCGACGAAGATGATGATGGCGGTTGTTGTTGGGCCGGTGATTCCCGGCGCCCTAACGGCACGCACGGGCACCACCCTGAGACCATCACAACTGATCGGGCACTTTAGCCCGACTCCCGCAAATACACCTACCCCACCTGCCACCTGCCACCTGCCACCTGGATCCACCCACACACACGACTCTCACTTCCTCCTGCAGACTTGCGCGTCCCGCGTCTTCATACTTTGCCAAATTTTCTTCCTTCCTCTACGATCTTTCCTTTTCCCGATTTCTTCCTTTTTCTTTTGCCTTTGCTTTTGCTTTTGCTTTTCTTTTTAATCGAGATCTTTTTTTAATATCTTCTTTTTATCTAAGTTTTTAATATCTTTGTCATTACTGACCGCGTACCGTTACTACCAGGCGGACCTAAAAATAAAGAAAATGCATCAAGTTAGATTTCAATAGGATTGGTATTCTATTTCCTAAGGGGGTAAACAAAATTCAGGAGAGAGGGAACCGATACTTTTCTCGTGCGATAATTAAGATTATCTTTCGAGTAGTTCTTTTTTCTTTTCTTTCATTTCTTTCTTTCTTTCTTTCTTTATCTTGGTAAAGAAAATCCAATCGGCTTTAGCCACGGTCGGGCGTCGGGTTCGGTATTTCTTTCTTTCCACGTGCACCGTTGCGTATCTCTCTCTTTCTCTCTACAAAGAGTTGAATCGAGCAAGAGGGGTGGTTTAATCGTTGAGCGGGTCAATTAAATCTAAATTCCTTCGAGCGCGTTCGTCGGATTCGAGCGGACAAAAGAGCCAAGGCTCGAGAACGAACGAGGCGAAGCTGATTCTCTCACAAAGCCTTTTCGCTGTTCTTTTTACGGGGAGCTAGCACTCTTTTTTTTCTTTATTTTCCTTCTCTCTCTCTCTCTTTCTCTCATCCTCGCGCGACAAGACGTACACACAGCTTTCTGAAGAGTTTTAATTAAAGCCCAGATCGACGCTCTCGCATTCGATTCCTTTTCGAAAGCATGCCCGAGTGTAACGATAAGAAGATAACTCTCCTCCTATTCCTCATCCTCCTCCTCCTCTAGTATCTCCTTTAGAAAAGAAAATCAAGAAGAACTTAAGAAACAAGAATCTAGAGGTCTTTTAATTGAAGATAAAGTTTTACTTACTTTTTTTAAAAAAAAAAAAAAAAAAAAGAAAAAAAAGAAAGAAAGAAAAAATAGAACTGAATTCATTTCCTTTATAAGCTTCAACTCTTTACATTCAAATTTGGCGCCGAGTTCGTTAGAGAGAAAGAAAAATAAAAAGGAAAATGCAGATCTTGGAGAGAAAATCGGTCGATATGTCTTTTTATGCTCGAACTGAAATATGATTTGTGCGGCATGAAGGTCAACGGACAAGAACTTGGAAACGCCTCTTTCTCGTTTTCCGAAAGCAAAGCTGCAAAAGTTTCCAAAGTTCCCTCATACTGTCTTTCTCCTCTCTCTCTCTCTCTCTATCTCGCTCGCTTCGAATTAAATTCTTGTCCGCCCTCGGAACACCATACTTTCCTAACTATTGCCGTAGAAATACGAGAGAAAGAGACAGAGAGAGTTTCGAGTTATTTTCGGAAATGATCCTAGAGAGAGAAGAAATACGCGTGGGGAAAAAATGTTAATCGTCCTATTTGAAATTCGATTTCGGTGTATTTGTATGCCTAACGATGCATATATATAAAATACGCATACGCGTGCACACCTAAAGTTGATCCTTATTTATTTTTTTATAGATTTCTGATGAAAGGATTAACGCGTTTAGAAATAAGTTTGATCTCGGAGTCAAATGTTACTCGGATAAAAGATTTTTCAATATTACAGAAAAATATTATCGATAAACGTTATATCTTCGTTAAGGACTTTCTCATCTCTCATCTTGTTCGTCAGTTTCCTTTCTTCCAACCCCATTCCTCTCTATTTTTCTCTTTTACCTTTTCCGATCTCTCATGCGTCACTGCTTGCATCTTATATTAGCAAATTCTCGTTCCTTTGCATTTTTCATATCGATGCTACTACAGCAGTAGTTTATCAAGTCTTCATCGAAACGATTCTTCTGATATCTCTATTCTATCCTTCATAAACTTTTCAACTCGGTCATTTGCAATGTCAATAAAAGAGAATTGTATTAATGGGAATATGAAAAATTCGAATAAAAATACATAACTATTTTGTATCTTTCGATAAAAAAGAAACATAATCAATTGGTATTTTCAAACGTACGAGAAATAAGTTTGAAAAGTTTTTAGAAACAATTTGTAAGGATATAGAACACGTCGGTTATCTCGTACGAACGAACGAACGAACGAACGAACATTCTGTTCGACACCGAGCTACAACGGATTCTGGTGTCCCAAAACACAGAGAGATGAGAGACACCAATTCGAATGTAGAAACGGAGAAACTAGTTGGAATCCTGCAATTCCGTTTTTAGGACGAGTTCGATCCGAGGACGAATACTCGTATCGACACACTCGAAGCATTGAAATTTCTCTCGTTAAACACACATTTGCCTTTCGCAAATCGCAAAGCTGGCATCATGCAAATAAAACCATTCTTTTTTCTTTCAAAGACGGATATTACACCGTAGAATCTCTCTTCTTCTTAGGTATTCCCTTTCAAACAATTCTCCGATCTCGAAAAGTTCATTTTCCAAAAGTAGAACGTTTACTTAGTTTGATCGAAAACTAATTCGATTGTCCTGATCGAATAAGTTTGAGGACTAGTAGTCCCATAGTCGGCGGCATCGAAATCACGAATTTTCTACGCGGTCCCGCCTAAAGCACCACCCTCCCCTACCCTTCGAATATCTACCCTTCGGAAACTTTCAATTCCACCTTTTCACTCTTTCCAGGTATTCCTGCCTTTCTCGCAGCTTTCCGCACGAACAAACCGACTGTGAGAGCTCGTTTCCCTGGAATTACTTCTCGTACGTAGTCGAGCGGAATCATGAACCGCGACGCATCGATTTTTCGACGCTATCTCGTGTGATGAGAGACCGAAAGAGAGAAAGAGAGAGAAAGACAGTTTAATTAAATTGTAAGACTTATGTCGAAGGAACGTCTCTCTACCTGACGAATACTAAAATCACATAAATTTTTCAATCATCGCGATTACAAATGCACACACAAGATAAAAATCGTTTAATATATTTCTATACGCGCGGTATATATTAACATATTATTAAGAGTATATTATACGATATCGTGATAAAAAGGTTTTTAGTCCCTGAAAACATAACGTTAATACGCTCGCTTAGTATATTTCTCTTTCTTCTTTATCTCGATTATTTTTCTTTTAACAGACAGAAGTACATATATAACATGTGCATAGATACAGAAGAGAACCTGTTTCGTTTTACCACAAAATCGAATAAAAAGCTTCCTAGCTCGTTACGTTTTTACGATGAAATCTGAGAGAAATAGCAGGGACGACGATAGTCGTGTGGAAAGGAATATGAAATACGATATAATAGCGAAAAATTTCCCATAAAGGATTCATTAATATTATTCCCCCGTTAAAATATTACATCTCTTTCGCTACTAGCCAGGCTAACTAAATGAAACAAACTATCGTAAACATTTTCAGAAATGTATACTTCCAGTCTGAGAAAAGGAAAAAAAAAACGGTGAAAGGAGGATGCTTTCTAAGCATAGAATTTACGACTTCGTTAGAAAGTTAATTCGTCGCGTTCCTTTGGACATCTGGAGTCGCGTTTCAAAGTTGCCGGCCGACCGTCACGTCGGATGTGCACTGACGCGACGTTTATTTACGTCAACTTCGTTGCAGGGAGATTTATAAAGTTTCCAAACGAGCTCGTACACGCGTGCCCCATCGACTAAATCGACTAAATCGACTTCACTCTCGCGTACAGTGCTTTTTATAATAACAACAAAAATCAAATACGTTTATTATCCTTATATTATTAACACTAGATTTACGGATGTTTTTTTCAAACTTGCAAACATTGTTTGAATGAACTAGTGGATAGTGGTACTTACATTTTATTAGGGCATTCAAAATCGACATATATATTTAAATTGTATCTATATATATATATATGCAGGAACACAAAAAATTTGAATGTGTCAAATTGGCTTAGTCCGTAAAGTCTAGTGTTCATAATATTTGACAATTCAATTGGAATCAAATATTATTTCTGGATAATAATTAATTCGTCAATTATAATCGTCTTATAATAAAATTCAATGTGTAAAAAAATGATAAAAATATTAAAATAAAGAATAATTTCTACTCGGTTCGACGCGCATTGTTTGAAAGGTCCGTGTTCGCGTTTACCCTATTTTTGTATTTCCCTGTATTTCCCAGTCTTTCTCTCAAACCCATCCAGCCGTAGTCGTAAAATCGTCGGAGCGCCAACACGTACCGCGAAATACAAACGTAGGATAGGCAATACGAGTCGCGAGGTTATTCAGTTTTCTATGTAGAAACGAGAATTGTACGAGAGTGTGATGGTGCAACCTCGTAATTCGGTCCAATGATGTGCGTAAACGTTTGCTATATACGACATTTGTTGAGTGAATATCGTAGCAGGTCAGTTTTTTTTTTGGTAGTTATTTTTTTTCGACCAAAAGAAACGAGCGAGAGAAAATAAACGAAGCTTAACGATAAAAAAAAAAAAAACCATAACAAAAAAGAATTACGAGAAATGATTTTAAAATCTATACTTTTTTTTTTTTTTATAACAAATTAAACTCTTTCTCCTATATATATATTTCACAACAGTTAATTTAAAAGTTGTCAAAATATCGACGAGCTTTCACAATCGATTGACGACGAAGGGGCGGGGAAGAATGGTTGGAAAAAAAATGTTAGGGAGGGGAAGAGAGGGAAACAAACGTATCGTATGCACCTGCATCGTGCGTGCGACAGGTTTGATTTACGTGAGTACATAGTCGTAGTCGTTGTCGTCGTCGTCGTCGTCGTCGTTCGTCTACGACTATGTGTTGTTCAGTTTAAAGAAGGATTTGTCAAGTGACAGAGGTAAGAGAATAGGAAACTAAAGAAAAGTAAAGTAAAGTAAAGAAAAGTAAAGAAAAGAAAAATAAAAGGAAAGGAGGAATATCTCGGTTGTGGTATCGTAATCCCTCTTCGTTCCGTGGAAAAATCTCATTATGAGGAAAACTTTGTATGTGTGTGTGTGGTGTGTGTGTGTGTGTTTGTGCGCGCGCGAGAAAATGGCTCTCCGTTGCGGGAGATCGATCCGCCCACGCAGTGAAGCGTGTCTCGAGTGGAAGGGGTGTTAGAGGGTGGAAAAAATATGAAAGACATTCCAAAAATTTCAATAACGATCAACGGGGATAGGAAGGGGGATAGAGAAGAACCGAGAGAATGTCTCGGGACAGAATGATTTATATTTTTCTTCTCGAAGGGGAAAACAACGGAATAACTTTGCCCTGTTATTCCAATCAAAATATTGTAATTTTCTCTAATGACTAATAACGCGATCCCATTCTTTTTCATTCTTCATTTTTACCTAAATCTTATTATCTTTTTGTTGATTTATTATTTACATATTATACTAGTGACAAATGAAAGGATTAACTGGACGATTAAACTGGTATCGTTTATTTAAGGGCACTTGCATGGTCGTTCGTCTTGCTGTCTGTCTGTCCATCCATCCATCCATCTATCCATCCGTTCGTCTGTCCGTCCGTCAGTCCCTCCGTCTGTTTCTCTTGCAGACAATCCACGAGTGTAACGTTCGTTAACGCTCGTGCTTTGTATTAGCGTGAGACACGATCGGTTGCCATGGAAATTTCTCACTGCGAAGTTCTATCGAAAGCGAGAGCTTGCTGCTATTGCTGTTCTTGCGTACGCGAGACGAAGATAGAGAAAATTATAAACGTAGACGGAATATAGAGGAAAGAGAGAGAAAGAGAGAGATGAAAAGACAGAGAGGTATCAATCTCCGCCAATTAAATCCCCTACCGTAGAACATCTGCTTCGAGTGTGATTAAACTCAGGAATAAAAAGAAAAAGAAAAAAAAAAGTGAAGAAAACGCGCGTACGGCTATTTAAAAATTCAATTCCTTTCTCGAAGCAAGAAACGACTAGAGAGAAACATAATAAAAACATAGACAAAACGAACCTTTGGTCCAAAAGACGAGCTATGCGCCTCGAACGAAAAAAGCAGAGACGAAGGTTCCACAGTTGACGTTCTTGTCCACGAGGTTTTATCTCTTCTTCACGATTGTCAAACACACACGATAGGAAAAAATCCCGACGGTCATTCTCGCGTATTATGCACCAGAAAGAAGAAGAAGAACGAAAAAACGAAGAGAGAAATAAAGAGGGAAGACAAAAAAGAAAAAAGAATATATTTTACAGGGTTTGAATTGGGGAGGAAAAAAAAAAGAATTGAATTGGAAAGGTGAAGAAAATTGTCTCGAAATTCTCTCCCTCTGTCCTCCTCGTGTATATGCGTGTACGTGCGCTGGATCAAAATTTCTGTTTGTATACGTGTATTATATGAGATGGAAAAACGGATAGCAAGAGAAAGAGAAAGATAGAGAGTATGGGGCGAAATACCGTAGTTGGCACCGTAGTAGTTGGCACCGTAGTTGGCACCGTAGTTGGCACCGTCTTTGGCACCGTACGAACGCAAACTAAAAGGCCGCACACACTCGTCGTCGCTCGACGTCGCGGCGACGGCGGCGAGCGGCGCTTCCTTCGTTTTCGACGGCGCAACCCTGACTGACGACTACGACCACGACGACCATGGTGCTTCCAACAACCCGTCCCCTAGCTACCCCCGCCACCACCAACCACCCATGCGCGCCACCCACCCACGCGCAAATATTACACGCAAAATGCGATTCTTCTTTAGATAATGTATTTCACGTTCGAATCTACTTTGATCGATGGCCAATTAAAATCCGTCATACTAAATTGACACGAGCCCAAAATTCGCACGTTCTTTAAATTAATATTTCCAAAGTAAATTTTACGCAAAAAAAACAATCCATTGTGCAGTTTATAACATAATAAATGCACGAACTTTTGCCAAAAATAAAAAAGAAACATTTTCAATCTCAATCGAATTTTATTTCTTCGTTTACCCTCTTGTACTACTTGTCAACAATAAATTGAATCGAAATACTATGCTCTGTAATATCTACGCAACTTTCGATAGTTAATAATCCGAGGTTTTAATCGTGACAGTCGATGAAACTCTCGGCAATCTTGCCACGATCGAACTGCAAGGAATTTCGTGCTGACGGAAGCGATAACGATCTTTAATTACACTCGAGTTCTAACTATAGACGACGTGGACGATTAATTTAAACGCGCCCAAGATTTATTTCAACGCGTCACCGAGTGAATTATGGTCTAATCTTTTTTCTTCTTTAGCTTGTTATCACCGAGAATCTTCGAGATACAAAAATAATCAATCTTTCTCTATCCCTCTCTTTCCCTTATTTCTCTTTATAATTTTTCTAATCATTATCCGGAAATATTTGTAAAATTGAAAATAACACTTTTGTCTTTCGATATACTCGTAGTTGTTTTACGATCAGAAAGGTTTACTTTGATTTTGAAAATTATTCAAGTAGTCTTGACACTCATTTTCTATGCATTGTAGATATTAGTATATAACACAATATAATATATCTTGTTTCCGTGAACTGCTTGTATCAAGGATTGTCAGACAAGGTACTATACAGATCTGTCCTTTATTTCATTGGCTTATCCCGTTGCCTCGAGCTCTCCTTCGTCAGAGGATGCACGATTGTTCCCTGCACCGAGAATGGTTACTGTACTCGACTGATATGCACCAAAGCTACAACGACTATTCTAATCAGATTCAAGATCAAAAGCATCAGCCTCTTAAGGATAATGCAAAAGCTACTCTAATTAGATCATAGTCTACAAACACTCCACACACACACACACACACTTCCATCCCCCCATTCAATCCTATTACCATTTTTTATTTATCCTATACGGCACTCGCGTTTCCGCACATATTATTTAGGATTCTTGAAAGAACAAAAGAAAATATAGAAAAATAACCGATTCCGCTTCTCATCCGTTGGTCTCTCTCTATCTTACCGTTTTTGATAATATTCGGTAATCTCTTTGAAGAAAAAGGAAAAAAGTGGAGGACGTTAAAGAGGAAAATTCGTTTTTACTCGGTCTCCTCCCTGAAAAGCCTCGGTCTATCGCAAAAACGCGTTGCACGTATTATCCGAAAACTTTTCATCGTGGCTGAACGCTACTACCGGTCTGTGAATCTTATAAAAGTGCAGGAGGAAGCATCCGCTTCGCTTTTCCTTTCTTTTCTTCTTCGTTTAACGCACAAATACGTATCCCCCTTTGTTCTGCGATTATATCGTTTTATTATACTTCGGTGAAAATCGCGCTTAGATGTGTGTGTGAATGTGTATATGTATCTGACCGCGCGCGTTGAATCTTTTAATATTTTATATTAAATAAAAAAATCGTTATCCGGCGAAAAGAAATATATATCTAAAGAGGTAAATAATTTTCTAAATTACTTATATCATTCTTTTTCTCTCCCTTCTCTCTCTTCATCTCTCTCTCTCTTTCTCTCTCTTTACGCATATAAGTTACAAGCATCACAAAAATAGATATTGTCGCTACGGATACACGAGTGCCACTGACCCCAACAACTCCTCCGATTTTCATAGCTAAGAAATGAGGCGATTTTTACTTGTCATCGAAACGTTTACGTTACATATATTTAATCTGTTATATAAATTATTCGAGCATATAATATTAGTTAGAAATAAAAGTATCGTAATTTAGTTAAAAATAGAGATATGCGAAAAATAATATATAAAAATCTCCAATGTGAAATATTGAAATAAAATATCCAGAAAGAGAGAGAGAGTCCGACAGTAAAGGATTAAAAATATACGACCGACTAATCTGAAAGTTTATAGGATTATATAAAAAACAAAATCCCGGTAAATATTTGACAATTGAAATGAAGAAATTGAAATGATTGTTTCTTTCCCTCCGAAGCAAATATATTTCTATCGACTTTCGATCTCTTTCAATCTTCAAACCTATCCCCTTAAATACCTTTAAACAGGTCCCTACTTGATCTCATATTTTATAAACTCGCATCCCCGATTTTATCGACGTGCCCAACCAATTCACCCTTACGAAAGCTGCTAATGCTTTATTAGGGAGGTCGGATAGGAAGCAAAATTCTTTGATAACTCTGTTCGTTCGATGGAAAGGTTCACGTTATATACCATTATCGATTTTTCCCGACAAGTTTCTAGCGTTTTATCCCTTTGGAAAAAAAGAAAAAAATAAAAGAAAAAAAACACACACAGAAGATAAAAAGAAGAGGAAAGAAAAAACAAAAGAGAGAAGAAAATAAAAAGAAAAAAAAAAAGAACGTAGAAATTCTCACGTTAGATGTGCGATAAACACGGAAGGTCTAACTCGTATTCTTTTTTCGTTCTAACGAAAAAATGAATATTTCAAAGTAAGAGTGTAGTAGCGTGGCGGAAAAACGAAGTAGTATCTCGTATCTTTTCTTTCTTTTTTTTTTTTTTTTTTCCACAAAAACCATCCCTGATGGTCGAAAGGAAAAAGGTCGAGGAAATATCGAAGAGAAAGAAAAAGAGTGGAAAGGACCGCCGAAGAGGGGAAGAAATAACGGGGTTGCGAAGGAAGGAAAGGAACGATCGAACTATTTGTTTTAAGAATTTATGTCATCTCGAGACGATCGACGTATCTACTCCTCCAACCTCCCACCCCACCCCACCGCCCTCCCGAACTCTGTTTTTCTTCGAGAGAGATATTTTTTCAAAGGGAACATATATTTTTTATTGCTCTCGTCATTGTCGACGACGACGACGACGACGACGACGACGACGACGACGACGACGACGACGACAACGAGAAGGAAAATGGAAGGTAACGCGGGAAATACCAACTACGAACGGCAACAAAAATGAAAGGGGAAATAGAAACTAACAATAAAAGAAAAATGAAAGAAGATGCGCGTGCATCGAAAGTCGATACTCGATATCGTTCCGCCATCCTCTCGTTCTCTTTTTTCCAACGAAGAGATTGCGAGTTAAAAGGATGCACATGTGATTTTGGCACGTGTCTCTCCTTGTTGCAGGACCACGCGTATAGAAAAAAGACCTGACGAGAAAAAAATAGCGAATTTCAATAGATTTAGGAAACGCGAAAAAGTATTTTAAAATCGTCCTAATCAAGAGGAGGATGATATCTGACACAGTATTTGCAAAATTTTTACAGGTTTTATCAATTGTCCAGATATCTGGTCAAATATTGTTTCAATTTTTCTATAAATATCTTTATTATTTTTCTTTTTTACCTGATCTCTTTTGTAGACTTTCTGTATTAATTGGTTTGTCCTGTAAAGAAAATAAATAAAATAAATGACCATTTTTACGTAGTGTCATAAACTATTCCTTTCAATTATTATCGAATTAAAAATAGTTTTTTGACGTAAAGATTTTAGTTAGTTGGTTCAGTTTCTTAACTCTTCTTTTAGCAACTCTCAGTTACTTGCCGGGCAATAATAAACGAGTGTTTCATTCGACGTCGTGCCTCTCCTCTCTTCTATCTTTAGATCCGTGTCGGTGACATCGTGCTCGTATTTAGGTGGCACATGTTTAGCACGATCCCTTTTCTCCGATTCCGTGAAGGTGAACGAACTCTTCTCTTTCTTTGCAAACTGCAATCTAATTATATTCTTAATGTCAATGCGACATCTATTTATGTTACGATGAAAAATTCGTATCTTCGACCTAGATTATTATCTAGGAATCTAATGAAAATTCGTTAATGGATCCAATAATCGTTGCGGATACCTATTTTTTCCTTGGACAAAAGTAAAAAAAGTAAAAAAAAGGAATAGTTGAAGAGAGGGAAGCAGCAAGCAAAAGGTTCTCTCGAAGCTCTCGAAGACGAGCTCGCATAGGAATGACGGCATTTCCAGGCTCGTTCGCGACTCCCGACAACTGCTTTTATCTCCTCTAGAGGAAAGTTGCTCGAGGCTCATGGTCCTCGAAAGCAAACTGCATCTCCTCCTCGTTCGTTTCCTACCACTTTTTACGAACTATCCTACGGGACTTTAAAGCCAGTCAAAAAGAGCCAAACTTCCATTTTTTCAGATAAAGGTAGAAATTTTTGATATAATGGTAATTCGACGACGCTGAACCGAATGGTGCTAATTTTTTTTGCAATCAGATCCCAAGGTTTTGAGAAAAAGGGTAAAAAATAGTTGCAGTTGCAGTTGCATGTGCAGTTGCAGTTGCAGTTGCATGTGCAGTTGCAGTTAAAAAAATATCAATTTTTACGAGACAACAACAATTTTCTAATTCATTCAGCGTCGTCGAATTACCATTATATAAAAAATTCACACCTTTATCTGAAAAAATGGAAATTTGCCTCTTTTTGAGTGGTCTATTTGTTCTAACTCCACGAGGATGAAAGTGAGAGAGAAAGAGAGAGTGAGAGAGAATTAGACGAATCGTATAAATACCAACGAGAGTTTCTACTTCCATTTCACAAAATTATTCTTCGAGGTGTCTTTTGAATAAAGAATCTCTTTTATTAATAGGTAAAAATAAAAATTTAGGCTTGAAATTTTGGAAAGGAAAAAAGACGTGCCTAATTGACGAAGCAAACACTCGAATCACGCACGCGGGAAACGAGAGTCTTTGACACTCGCGAGCCGGAAGGTCTCGTTTAAAG